CATTCAATAGATACTTGTTTAATAAGTAAGTGCCCAAATACATAGATCCACACATGAATGAATGAATAGATGTATGAATTCAATGATGCAAAAAAAGCCAAGGGCTGCACCCATGTGCTGGGCTCACACCTCACCTCCTCCCTCTTCTCTTTTGCTGTGTGACCTCCCATTAGTCCCTTCCTGAGCCTCAAGATCCTCAAAGGAGAACACTATGCCTTGAAGATCCCCTCCATTTCTGAAATAATTCAGAAACTCCTGCCTGCCCCGCCCTACTGCCAAGGCTTTCATGCTTCAAGCAGCTGAAAAGAAAAGCTGCTGAATCCCTCTGCTCTGTTTATCATCCTCCGTTTGGCATTTTGTCTGCAGCTGGGGCTCTCTCTATAAGACCACTCAGCATCTATAAGCTGACTAATTTCCATGTTGATTGCAAAGCTGGAAATGTATACGCTTGTCATTCTTATTCTTGGCCCAGATGCTTTGTGCCAACAGTAGCTCTGACGATGGGGCACTGACACCACTTGCTAGTTATTGTCTGATGTGCAATTGACATGAGTGGGTTTAGAAGGAGGCACAATTTGATAATCTGACTCCATCTGCAAAGCAATCACGAGTCACATTATGAAGAAAATGCCAGTAAAACTGGGGATGTAACTGTCTTATTTTCAACTTCCCTTACCCTAGCAAAGGCTGTGTAAAGAGATATTGATGTGTGAACCAACTTTTTATTTTTTTAATATAATGAGCATCTCTTAGAGCTTTGAATTTATATAAGTACAGCAAGTGACAGGCTATGAAACAAAATGCTTTCACATATATGATCTCATTTTGCAAATGCATTATATTAGCATTATTAAGTAATATGTGTTTGATGATAATATTCAAACCACACAGAAACATATAATACTGAAAGAAAATATTTCTGAAGTACAGGCCGATCTCACACCATAAGATGTAGTGGCTGAGGTGAGACTATAAATTCAGGCTACATGAATTCAGATTCTGTTTCCACCTCTTAGAGAATTTTCTGTTCTAACTCTAGACATGTTATGTCAATTCTCTGTACCTCAGTTTTCTCATCTGTATAATGGAAATAATAGTAGTATCTTTGTAACAGAGGTGTGATAGAGATTGCCTTATGAATGTACAATTTAGAACAGTGCCTGGTATGTATAATAGCTCCATCAATATCATCTATTCTTTTTATCCATTTCATTACTCCTCCACTCCAAAGCCAACCACACCTGGTGTGTGTCCTACAGTTCTCAGTCTAAACAGTTATCTACTCATGAACATTTTATCTCTATTTTCTTTTATTAAAATGAGACTACAAGCTACAACAGATTTTTAATTTTTTTTTTAAATTAAAAAATGCATCATGGAGATTCTTATCTAGATCTGCATCGTTAATAATTGCACCGTCTTTAACATGGATGGGCTAGCATATATTTAGTGATTCTTCAATTGATGGGCATTTGAGCTGCTTCTGATTTTTTCCCATTACTAATGGTGTTGCAGTAAACTTCCTCGTCATTTTATCTTTGCACATTCCTAAGAGTTTCTCTACAGGACAGAGTCTGAGAAGTACAAGATCCTCTCGGTTGTAGCTTTGCAAAAACTCTAAGAGGAAACAGGGTAAGTGAGTGCCATTATCCACAAAAGAGGTAAATACCAGACGTTTAGGAATTTCCCTAACTTTTCACAGATAGTACTTATAGCACATAGTGGAGATGAGGCAAATGCTCAGGTCTTCTGATTCCAAACCCAGCACTCTGTCTTTTGGATGACATATAGTTGGGTAAAGATTGGGGTGGTGTGTATGATAATCTCTGTAGCCTGAAGAGATTTTCATATTAAAAACCTTAATAGATTTATTAACTCCAGCTATAGATGGGCCTGATAGGCCTGACTATAAACTGACCACGCGAAGCCAGCCAACCCTGCTTTTCATCCATGCCCATAGAAAGATCCCCAATCCTTAAACATGGATTAAGGATAATATTTACTGAGAATTTAATGTAATAAAAGCATTGCACTGAAGATTAAAAGGAAACAAAGTTGAATCAGATACTGTGGAGAGATATTGCCCTGATTCAGTTCACAGTCTAGTGGGTAAAAGCGATGTGCCTAAGTAATTAAAATACAGGATAGAGTAATTACTTGGAGAAATTGACAGATAACAGCCTTTGAGGGCTTAGTAAAGGAAAGATCAGCTATCATAAAGCACAGCCTACCTACTTTTACTTTCACTCTCTTAAGATCCCTGATACCGTGTCACTAAAGTAAATTAGGTATGGCATTAATCCTATAGCCTCAGTCATCCTTTGAGACCCTGAATACAACCACAGAATAATCATTTACTCATGAATGGACAGCAACCTTGAACTCAGCCGCAAAGTCCTAGCCTCTGTCAGCCATTTGTGAATGTAGGTTATAAGGTAAAAAAACTGTTGAGATTAAGTGGGTAAATGAGATGGTCTATCTTTAAGGTTGGATTTTTTGGTCAACTTTATATCATATTCTGGGAATATTCATCCATGTGAATTGCATGAAATTTTTCTATTCAGTCGTTGTTTTGATATTTTCAAAAAAACAAAAGTAATTCTGGTGCCTGTTTTGCAGGTCATTGTCAGGCAGTAACAAAATCTTTTCACAGAATTTACTAGTCATTATTCTGGGGCTTTTATAACCTTGGTTTGAATCTACCACAATGAAATGAAATTCATTTTCTCTTTCGGTGCTCGTGGTCATTTAAAATCAACAAATGGACAGATGGAGGGCTCCTTACCACGCTTATACCTCACATGAATTGAATCTCTGTTTTTTCTATTGGCACAAAACTAAACAGTAAAAGCTTCAGTTATCTTTGCTATAAATCAGTGTTAGTTATTAGGGAGCTGAATGTGTTGGATATCTTACTCCTAGCAGTTTCAGATACGAACTTTATTGCTAGTGTTCTCTGAAATTCTTCTTTTCCAAAAGACGGATGTTGTTAACATTTATTCAACTTTCCAGATGCAGACAATCCAGCACAGAGGGCTGCTGCTTTATAATTCCACCTTCTGCTTGATCAGTAATTAAACTATAGAAAAGAAGGAGGTGGAGGAATTATCACCAGTATCTCAGTTAATAACAGCTAACTCTAGAACATCAAAATAAAATGTTTACTGAAAACCTTGCCAGCATCTATGAGTTGGGAAAGAAAAAAAAGATTAATTTGAGTGGTTCAATGTAAATGAATCAGAAACATATGTCTTGGCTTTCTCAACATGGCTGGCAAAATGCATGTAAGCTGTACAGAACCTATAGCACTTGAAAAGGGATTTGACAGACTGAAAATATATCTGTGCTGTCCTATAAGCAATGCAAATAAGTCTTAAATTAAACACAGATTTCCCCCCCCCCCGTGGGCCAGGAAACCCAAGGGCAAAATAAAAGCTTGCATTTCCATAGCTCTGTTCTTGCCCCCACCCCCCCCCCCACCCCCCGCCCCCCGCCCCATCAACAATCCTGAAATGCTATGAGCAGTGTATCCATTTTTCCCCTCTGTACTTACAGCAGGATGGTTCTGTGGGACAGAACACACACACACACACACACACACACACACACGATATATCCAGACACACAGGCACATATATATATGGAGAGAGAGAAAAGACACATGGCATTCAGTTAAGTCTAAATTTCAGATTAACAACAAACAACATTTTAGTATAAGTATAACCCATACAATATTTGGGATCACATTTATAGTAAAAATAGTATTTAAAAAATTTTTTTAGTATAAGCATGTGCCATGCAACATTTGGCATATGCTTACATTAAAAAGTATTTGTTGTTTACCTGTAATTCAAATTTAAAGTTTAACCAGTCATAAAATACCTAAGCCATGGGGATATAATGTAAAGCATGGTGACTAATAATACTGTACTGCACAACTGAAAGCTGCTAAGAGAGTAGATCTTACAGATTCTCACCACGAGAAAAAACATTTATAACTATGTACGATGACAAATATTAACTAGAATTATTGTGGTGATCATTTTGCAATGTATACAAATATTGAATCATTATGTTTTCCACCTAAAACGAATATAATGTTATATGTCAATTATATGTCAATTAAAATTAAACTAACTGGATATTCTATATTGTTCGCTAAATCTGGCAAGCCTAGTTTTATTGCCTCCCCAAACTAGATAAATGAGACAAGAACTATAGTTTGTGGGTTAGAGGATTTTGCCTTTCTTCAAAGGAAGAAAACATCTAGAATAAGAACCGTCTAGAGGTAGTAGAAACTTCATCAACATTGGTCTCAGAAAGGAAAGGCATACCACTACAATTATATAAGGAACACAACCGTGGCTTTTATAAACATGACTCTACTTGTGCTCTGCTAGAAGCTCCTTCCTGTTTTCGGTACTATTATGGGACAATTAAGTATACTTAGAAGGAGTGTGAAGCATATATTTTATTTGGGGGACTTAACAGGAAGGCAGAGAACATGAGGTTACTGCCCACCTGAATGCGAGAAGAAAAGGGCAGCCTGATTCTTGTATGGGTACTAAAGGGAGCATAGTGTCCTAGAGAGGCTTGCAGACTAAGGATCAATAGTCTTTGTGAGCATCATTCTATATTTTCTTTACTATTATATTCTCAGTTCTAAGCACGGTGCTTGATGCTGTGGGTACTCAGTAAATATTTGTGGAATAAATGAATGAATGGACTTTCCCATTGCTAAAATCAAAGAATGAAACCAAGTCACATAAAACTCTAATGTTTCAAACCATGCCTAAATTTCTCAAGACGTATCTCTGGGGTTATCTTAATAGAAGAAGAAGGTGTCAGAGGCAGGCACACCTCTCCTCCTTCAGCTAGACCACTTCCTTACCTACTTCTTTCCTGCACAGAGGTTCAAATGAGATTTCATTTAGAAACGATTCAGTGGAAAAAATTAAATAGTTATAAAAATGCATTTAAGATTTAGAAGACATACCTCAGTCCGAAGTTCTTTGACTCCACCCACGGCCTTTCTCCAAAACAAAATGTCCACACACGTGCTCCAAGCCAGCAGGAGGTAACTGAGAACACACAGTCCTAAAGGACAGGAGAGTAAAAGCAAACTTGAAAAAAAACAAGTTTCTTACTCTCAGTAACAGTCAGTCTTGCCTGGAGTTATCATTATTGTTGAATTACAATACAAAAATGAGGAAGAAAAAAAATCACGTGCAATCTCTCCAGCAGTTTGTCATATTGAAAATACGGCATAAACTGGTTCAACAAAGGCACCAAGGGAATACAAAACCGCAATCAGTTTTTCTGTAGTGTTTATATCTATACTGACAGAAGCCTAATTGCATAATTTATCGTTATGATATAAACTGTAGAGATTACAGGTATATGTGGGAATCAGCAGGATGGTGTTACTAGCTTTTGTGTAAATCACAGTTGGCATTTTGTGTTCAATACACAAACCAGTCTCCTTTTTGACCATGTACAACTATATTCCAATTGCCATGCTAAGTGTTTCAATGACCTACGTAATCCATTAAGTGTGATACTTCTGTCCCCACCTCCACCTCCAGGAAATCTCTACCTGTCTCTAGTTCATGAGCTCACATGAGGATGTTACTGGCAGCGAGGGGGTGGGGCGTTGCTTTTAAAGTGCCCTTGAGCTTTGCTCTGCTCTGAGAAACAGGCTTCCATGACTTCCCATGGAAAAGAAATCCAAATTCTTCAAGGTCCTTGTCTCCAGCCACTCTCCTTTGGCCTTGCCATGCACCCATTACATCACAGCTACATTTGATTACTTGCCAGTCACTGAAAACTTGATCACCTTTTTCTTCCCTGATCCTTTGTTTATTTCTCTGAATCCTCCTCATGTTTTACATACATATTACAATGTCTATATTTGTAATCCATTTCACATTAGGCATGCTTCTAAGAACATAAAAGGACAGCAGACTTCTCATGGTGGGAGGACAGAATAGATACACTTTCCCCTATTTCTCCTGCTAACTACAAAGGAAACTTCTTATATTGCTTATAAAACAAACATAAGAAACTCGGAAAGGTTAAGAGGAGGTGGCAGCTTAGATAGGGAACTATGCCCTGAACAATGAGTTACCTTGGTTTTCTTTTTGCCTCATATATCCCAGACTGTGTGCTGTAGAAGCTAATAACGGGGAAGTGCTGATGGGCACAACAACAACAACAAAAGACACAACAAAGTCTACCGCAGGAAAACAAAAGGGGAACACCTCTCCTTCCCTCTGGGGGGTATAACAGGAGGCCTAATGAAGAATCAGGTCTTCACACACCACTACTCGACCTTAGTGTTGGTGGGGGCCACAGAGGAGAAGTTAGGAAGGATCTTACTGATACTTCCAGGGAGATCTCAGTGTAAGCCTAATGGGAAACAGTAAGTCCCAACAATGCCCAGTAATGAGGAACTCCTCACCCTAAAGTGTAAATGGAGGCCAAGGGGGAAACGTAATGAGGTAGAACCCTCCCACACTTCCACTGCCAGATGATGTCAGAAAATGCCAGTTAAAACATAAGACATAAATAAGATCCACAATGACACAACACAATATCCCAAATGTCTAGGTTTCAATTAAAAATCACTCAACATACGAAGAACCAGGAAGACCTCAAACAGAAAGAAACAGTTAACAGATGCCAACATTGAGATGAAAGAGAGGCTAGGCTTTTCTGACAAAGGTTTTATAGCAACCATCATAAAAATGCATCACCAAGTAATTAAGAATTTGTTTGAAACAAATAAAGAATAAAGTCTCAACAAAGAAATAGGTGTAAAGAAGAACCAAACAGAAAGTGTACAACTTCAAATATAGTGACCAAAAGAAAAAAGTCAATGAATAGGCTCGAAAGAAAACGTAGGGGAAGGTAGGAAGAACCAGTGAGTTGGAAAAAAAAATAGAAATTACCCATTATGAACAGAGAACAATGTGAACAGAGAGAAAACAGACAACAAATAAAAAGAGCCTCAGGGACTTGTATGTCTATTAAAAAAAAAGATTTAATAAAGATTTAATATTCTTGTCATCTGAGTCTCAGGAAGAATTGAAATTACAGTGTTTTCTCTGACTACAATGGAATTAAACCATAAATCAATAACAAAAAGATAACAGAGGCATCTCCAAACGTGGAAACTAAACAACATAATTCCAAATAATCCACAGGTCAAAGGGGAAGTCTCAAAAGAAATTAAAAATATATTGAAATGAGTGAAAATAAAAATATGACATATCAAAGACGATACACAGATGACAAATAAGTATATGAAGAGATACTCCACACCATATGTATGTCATCAGGAAAATGCAAATTACAAAAACAATTATTAGAATGGTCAAAATCCAAAACACTGAATACATCAAATGCTGGTGAGGATGTGGAACAATAGGAACTCTCATTCATTGATGGGAGGAATGCAAATGGTACAGCCACTTTGGAAGACAGTTTTGTGGTTTCTTACACAACTAAACATACTCTTACCTTACAATGCAGTAATCACACTCCTTGGTGTTTACCCAAAGGTGTTGAAAACTTGTGTCCACACAAAAACCTATACACGTATGTTTACAGCAGCTTTATAGTCATAACTGCCAGAACTTGAAAGCAGCCAAGATACCCTTCAGTACGTGAATAAATAAACTGTAGTACATGCAGACAATGGAATACTATTTAGCACCAAAAGGAAATAAATGATTACAACTTGAAAAGACATGGAAGAATCTTAAATGCATATTACTGAGTGAAGGAAACCAATCTGAAAAGGCTACATACTATAAAATAATTTCAACTGTATGACATACTGGAAAAAGGCAAACCATGGAGACAATAAAAGGATCAGTGACTGCCAGGGGTTAAGGGGGAGGGAAGGATGAACAGGTAAAGCACAGAGGATTTTTAGAGCAGCAAAAATGTTATATATGATACTATAATGGTGGATATATGTCATTATACATTTGTCAAAACCCATAGAATGTGCAACACCTAGAGTGAACTGTAATACAAACCATGGATTTTGGGTGATTATGGTATGTCAGTGAAGGTTCATCAATTTGAATAAATTTACTGCTGTGGTGGGGATGTTGATAATGACAAAGGCTATCTATGCCTTTATGGCAGCAGGGAGTATGTGGTAAATCTCTACCTTCTCCTTAACTTTGCTGTGAATCTTAAAACTACTTAAAAATATATAAACAAACAAATAAATAAACAAACAAATAAATAAACCAACAAACATACAACATATCAAAATTCATGTGGCACAGCTAACACATTGCTGTGAGGAAAACTTACAGCACTAAACACATACATTAGAAAAGAAAAAAACTCTCACATCAATAAACATAAGGACAGAAATAGATAAAAATGGAAACAAAAATAGAGAAAACTCAAGAGATGAACAGGTGGCTCTTTGAAAAGATCAATAAAATTGACAAACCTCTAGCAAGATTGACAAGCACAAAAAGGGAGAAGACATAAATTATTATTATGAGTAATGACACGCACTATTATTACAAACCCTGCAGACATAAAAGATAATAAAGGAATATTATGAAAATTTCTACACACATAAATTTGAAAACAGATGAAATGGACCAATTCCTGGAAGCTACCATAATATACTTAATATGAAGTATTATGAATAGCCTTATAATTATTAAGGAAATGAGGTTTATAATTTTAAAACTCCCAATAAAGTAATCTCCAGGCCCAGATGGTTTCACTGAAAAATTCTATCAAATTATTAAAAAGAAGTAACACCAATTCTATAAAATCTCTTCTAGAATACAGAAGAGGAGGAAACAGTTTTGATTTCCTTTATGAAGAAGTAAGACCAATTTTACACAATCTCTTCTAGAATACAGAAGAGGAGGAAACAGTTTCTATTCCTTTATGAAGCTAGTATCACCCTGTCACACAAAGACAGTACAAAGAAAGAAAACTATAGACCACTATCCTTTATGAATATGATCACAAAAATCCTTAACAAAATATTAGGAAAAGAATTCAACAGGGGCTTCCCTGGTGGGGCAGTGGTTGAGAGTCCGCCTGCCGATGCAGGGGACACGGGTTTGTGCCCCGGTCCGGGAAGATCCCACATGCCATGGAGCGGCTGGGCCCGTGAGCCATGGCCGCTGAGCCTGCGCGTCCGGAGCCTGTGCTCCACAACGGGAGAGGCCACAGCAGTGAGGGGCCCGCGAACCGCAAAAAAAAAAAAAAAGAATTCAACAATACATAATAAAAATATATATACCATGACCAAGTAGACTTTGTTCCAGAGACGCAAGGCTGGTTCAATATTCAAAAATCTCTTGGCGGTGGTGTAGGAAGATCCTGAACTCACTTCCTCCCATAAACATAACAAATCTACAACTAAATATGGAATAATTCCCTCAGAAAGGGAGCCAAAAACTGCATGAACAGAGCCTCCACAAAAACAGGTAAAAGGACAGCATCAGCACAGGTAGAAGAGGCAGTGATATGGGCTGGCCTAAGAAAAATCCACACCATAGCTGCAGCAATCCACAACTGAGAGGAATCACAAAGGTACAAATATTTTCCCTGAGAAATGAGTGATTTGTGCTCCACTTCAATCACCCTAACCGCTAGATCCTACACAGTAGATTCAAGCCCCCCAAAACACCTGGATTTGAAAATCAATGGGGAATATGGCCAGAAAAACTATATAACTGCAGTGAATGGAAATTTCACTCGTAAAGGGCTTGTGTACAGACTCACTTGACCTGAAAACCTGTGCAAAAACACCAGGCTGCAAAGTGCATGGATCATAGGTGAAGGGGACTCACATACTAATCTTAAAGCATCTGCAGGATAGGCAGGAATCAGTTGGGACACTCCCTGGGGACTGAGTCACTGGCAGGAGTCACTTAGTGATCTCAGTTTAACTTGCTAATACCAATGCTGGTGGGTGCCATTTTGGAATTCTTCATCTAAACTTCGTGCCAGTTGGCACACACATACTGACAGCCCTGTCCACTGCTGTACCTCTTCCCAGACTCACAGCTGGCTGAGCATTAACACCATCCATCACCACTGTG